TGTTAATATTAATTTTCTCTAGACGTTTAGTTTTAATACTACATAGAATGAATTTGTAACTTTTATATTAAAGTTAATGGAGTAATTTTTAAATATTTGCTGCAAAAAGAGTTAATCACTTTGATGTACTTATTTATTTGTTCAGTGTTTTGGTCCAGATTAAGATAGATTTAATTTCTTCATTTATATGTTGGTTTGCTGTTAAGTCACAAATTTCCATATTTCATACACGTAATATTAAAACAAAACATTATAGGGAAAAATAATATTAACAAAAAATATTTATTTTAAAGTCTTCTATTTCCTTTCAAAATTCGTCGGTCTACTTTTTTAACATCCCGTAAATATAAAAAATGTCTAAATTAAAAAAAAATTCCAAATAACTATTCAATATTTCCTCGCCTATTGTATTTTGCTGAGTTTATTCATAAGTTTCAATTTAATAAAATTGTCAATCGAAACGAGTTTATTTTTTAAAATAATAAGAGAAAAGGAGAGTAAAAAAATGATGGAAACAATAATGTAAAACATAACATGAAGGAAGAAAATACGATAGAACGTTAAAATATGAAAGAACGATTTTTCTTCTTTCACGTTATGTTTTACATTCTTTCCATTATGTTTTACATTCTTTCCATTATTTCTTTGCTCTTGTTTTTTCTTATTATTTAAAAAAATGAACTCGATTGGTTTCGATTGGTAATTTTATTAGATTGACAACTTATGGATAAACTATATATATATATATATATATATATATATATATATATACATACAGGGTGTCCCCGACTACCCGTATTTTTCTTTACACCCACATTTTTCTTTAAGAATATTATGTGTTTTCATAACATCTATTGATTAGTTTTATTATTCTGTACATGAAAGTAATAAAGTAAGATTGTCGAAAACTGAATGTTCCACAAGATATTTTGTATTTTTATTAAAAAATTTGCAACTTTGGAGCTTTATAACTCGAAAAGTACTTCACGAAAAAACATTTAATTATAATGTTTTGGAAAGCTCTCGAGATAAGCTACAAGAATATCAAATAAAAAAACGGGGTTAATGATTGAAAAATTGACGGTAACCTTCACGTGACCTTCAAATGACCATTCAAGGTCAAATCATTGCCACCATCTTATAACCCTCTTCAAGCCATTTTTCAACCCCTTGAATCATTTTCTCTAAAACGCTTTGTTTCCGAGATAAAAGGGGTGTACGGGTGGTCGGCGACACCCTGTATATATACCATATATATAATATATAATATAAAAGCGATGGCAATTGAGCCTCGTAAAGATTTATTTATCCCGAGAAGGATCTGTAAAAATGCAGCGGCTCGCGGAAAATGTAAAAATAATGTTTCAACCGCGTGTAATAATGTAAACACTTTTATCGGCTATCGATTTCGGTCGACCTGCGCCGCTTCTTTTATTACGGGAGTATATATCGGGGATACAACGTGATCCGAGATAGATTGCGGCTAACTAAGTCTAAGTCTCTCGGTATTAACAAAAAGTCTCCTCATCCTTTCGATCGGCTGTCCACGAAATCGCGCGTCTTCAGGGTTCAGCAGCCGCGTTTCGCGCGCGAATCGGGAACGCGGCGTTTTTATTTACAGGAAGGCGATCGCACGCAAGACACATTAACGACTAGTAGTTAGTAAACGGAAAAGAATAGCAGAAGGTCGTGATCCACTTTTACACATGCATCAATCTGTTTAGTCGTTGCGGCTGTCCCGGCTGTTCAACACACAGTTGAACTATAAATACATTTTCCGATACGCTGCTCTTTTTGCCGATGAAAAAAAAAAAAATATATATATATATATACACACATACACACATTCCTTCCTTGCACGCGCGTAAATTGCGCCGTGCATATATTTTTACAGGCCGTCCCCGATCGCCGTCGTTAACGTCAACCGATCTCATCCGGATGTAAAAAGTTTCCTTTCTCTCTCTCTCTGCTCAGCTCTGCGGAGCCAGAGCATGCGCGCGGAAACCGCGTTTCGAAAATCGAAGTCTATCGGATAGTAGCGTACCGAGACCGCCGTTAATAACCTTTGATATTTCATTAATGAAGAACACTTCTTTTGTTGCCCGCTCGCGGAAAGGTTACGGAGGAGGGTAATAATAAAGCGCTACTTGTCGGACGCGCTAAACATTCATCCCGAATGAAAGGGAACGGAAGAAGAAAGCACATGTTGCATATACTACTATTAATGAATATAACGCAGCTTATCGCGATCTAGATTCGAAGAGGAAACTTCCGCCTGTGAAATTCAAATTAATATACCCGCCGCGACCGACCGCGTTCATTTAATTAGAGACATATTTTTACGGTGACCATATATCAGTCCTTTGTTATTTCAAGCAGTTGTTTTCTTTAGATTTATTTCTTTTTCCAAAACTCTATTTTTGTCCTTTAATTTTTAATTACCCTTTTGAGATCTCTAATGTCGCACACTATGAAAGAAAAATTATTAACTTGATTTAATATCTTTCAGCTAAATTACTATTTTGTTAATTGAACATACTATTTATTAGTATTCGAGACAAAAAAAAAGTGTACTTTTTGTTAAATTTAATTTAAATATTTTTGTTATTTTTATTATTTATTTTTAAGAAAAATTATTAACTTGACTAATCCTTTCAACGAAATTACTACTTTGTTAATTGAACATATATTGTGGTATTCAAGCCAGAAAAATATACGTTTTGTTAAATTTAATTTAAATATTTTTATATGTTTAATTAATAAAATAATATTTAGTTGAATTTAATCAAGTTAACCATTTTTTTCAGTGCAGTATTAACATGAAAATTTGTACGAAAATACGGGAAAAAATTTACCTACTAAATTTTAACTGTCCATATATTACAATCTGGAATTTAATTATCAAGCCTAAATTTTAGCTACAATAGCTAATATCTTTTAGCTATAGCAAACTATTCGTTAAACTATACTTAAAAAAATATTAATTGCCATGGCTAAAATTTAGATATGGTGGTAACTAAATTTCAGGTTATAATATATAGACAGCTAAATTTAGCTATGGAAATTTAGTTACCGCCTAAATTTCAGCTGTAATAGCTAATATTTTTTAGCTATAGCATTTTTCGTTAAATTATATCTAAAAAATATTAACAGCTAAAATTTAGACATGCTAACTAAATGCCATGTGTAGTATAGAGCCAGTAATTTTTTCCGTGAATAAAATCTCTTATTCTGGACATATTTAAGAAATTGAGGATTTGTCTCAACATAGTCGAATCAGTTTCAAACTATAATATATAATATACAAGAATACCATAATATAATATAATATACTATATAAGAATACTATAATATATAATATATATATAATATATAAGATATAATATATATAATATATAAGAACTATCCCAGCAAACACAGTATATAAATGTTATGTACTTAAGCATGTTACATGTAACGTATATGTTAGTTGTAATTTCCCACACTCATAGATGTAACATTTTTAATATTACATATATTACATTGTAGTTATATTGTCATTATATCCCAAGATACCACTGACTTATCAATATATCAATGTGCTATTTGGTATATAATTACAATATAACTACAATGTAATATATGTTATATTAAAATGTTACATCTATGAGTGGGAAATTACAACTAACATGGATGTTACATGTAACGTACACGTTATATTACCTGTTATATTCCGTTTTATTATAGCAATGTAACAATTATATATCGGTGTTTGCTGAGATAATATATAACCCAGCAAACACAGTATATAAATGTTATATACTCAAGCATGTTACATGTAACGTATATGTTAGTTGTAGTTTCCCACTCATAGATAACATTTTTAATATTATATATATTACATTGTAGTTATATTGTCATAGCACTGACTTATCAATACATCAATGTGCTATTTGGTATATAATTGCAATATAACTACAATGTAATATATGTTATATTAAAATGTTACATCTATGAGTGGGAAATTACAACTAACATGGATGTTACATGTAACGTACACGTTTTATTACCTATTATATTCCGTTTTATTATAGCAATGTAACAATTATATATTGGTGTTTGCTGAGATAATATATAACCCAGCAAACACAGTATATAAATGTTATATCCTTAAACATGTTACATATAACGTATACAAGTATGTTAGTTGTAATTTCCCACTCATAGATGTAACATTTTTAATATTACATATATTACATTGTAGTTATATTGTCATTGTATCCCAAGATAGCACTGACTTATCAATACATCAATGTGCTATTTGGTATATAATTACAATATAACTACAATGTAATATATGTTATATTAAAATGTTAAATCTATGAGTGGGAAATTACAACTAACATGGATGTTACATGTAATGTACACGTTATATTACCTGTTATATTCCGTTTTATTATAGCAATGTAACAATTATATATCGATGTTTGCTGGGATAATATATGAGTACCGCAAGTAGCAAACTGACGTCATTAAACGTCAAAATGCCAAATAAAATTTTCCTTTCACTCGTCGATCTTCACTTTGCTCGCAAATCAATTCGAAAACATGTTGAAGCAAAGCCCTAAAAACGTTCACACGTGTCCTTGATTCTCCCTCAGAAAATATGGTCATCGTACATATATCGATCATAATACGAATTTAGCAAATGGAACGTAAATTGGACAGAGCTGCCTCGGCGTAATCGCATAATCGCGCATCAAAGATGGATATCTATATCGTCGCCGAGAGATTTCCCGGATTAAGGATAAAAAGCAAAAAAGAGAAAAGAAAAGAAAGAGGGGATTCCCGATCCGGGAGGATAGAAGGAATCGCGTATCAATCGTCGCGCATGCCTCCCCATTTTCCCAGGATGAAACAGGTGGCACCTCGCTATTACCGCTGCGGCTTTTATTACATTTTGCTCGCTAGTCGACATAAATGGGACATGTCGATCGAATTACTTGTAACGCGCGCCATACCTGACGATGAGGCCGACTATATAGTATATCGGCGAGGCGATCGAGCTACGACGATGACGACGACGACGACGAAGGCGGCAGCTAGGTCGGGGATGTCTCTTAAGAGAGAACGGTAGATGTATGTACAACCTAATTCGGTACAGGAGTGTAACACATGGTCGTCGGCCAGGTATTTCCCGTCGATATATATACAAGGTGCATCGGAGAGAAGCAGCGGCGCCTGCGATCTACTTCTCCATCACGGAGAGACGAGAATTTCGAGCTGGCTCTCTCTCCTCTCCTTTCAGACCAGCAAAACTTTGAAGAACGTTTATCCGATAACGCTTTTAATACACGCTGCGGGGAGATCTAAAAGAAGATGGAAATAAATAAATGTATATATAAATAGAAGGAAAAACAATTTTGAAGTTAAACAAGTAGACGCAAGAAGAAATATATATATATATATATATAAGGTGTATACTTAAATAAATTCCCTGAGGATTCCGTGATTTTTCAGGCACTTTTGTTCAAAATTCCAGGTAAAATTTAAGTATTTTAAATAATATTAGAATACAATTTTTTTAACAAATCAAGCATTTTTTAAATATAATAATATAATAGTATTATATTATAATAAAATATATTTTAATATATACTTTATATAAAACTAATCAATTTTATATTCTTTGAAACTATATCTAAACATCAAAGAGGCAATTTTTTAAAAAAATTCCTGAGTTTCAATCAAATTCCATGATAATTCCAGGATTTTTCTAGGGAGTATACACTCTAGATATGTGTGTGTGTGTATGTATATAGTTGCCAAGAAATTGAACTGGAAAAAACGATAGAGGTATAAAGTCGGTCTAATCTTAAATGTTGCGAACAAGTTTTCGCTAAAAACAGATGAACCCTCCCTCAGCTCTCTTTGAGAATCCGAACGACAGCGAGAAAGTGCGCGCGATTTCTGATACACCCTTTATAGGATCGCGATGCCAAAGAGCCTCGCCTTTTCGCATCAAAGAAGAACGAAGCAAACACCTTCGGGACGCGTAGAATCGAGGTCGGAGGGGCATTATTCTTTTTCTCCTTCGGAATATACGACTACGGAAGAGACCGACGAACCACCCTCTCCCACCCTCGTGCTTCCGTTTCCCGATAGAACATTCACGTATAGACGGATTAAAATGGGTTGTGTCCGTTCATCGCTCGTTCATCCCTCACCGATGTGATTTAAACGAGCGTTAATGGAGTTTTTTTACAGCCTCGTAAAATCAAATAGAAACATTTCCTTCGAACACGAGGGAAATTTACAACGAGGGCGAGACCATTTTTTTTTGCATGCGAACATTTTTCGGCAATTTTATGCATGCAATTTTTCCGAACTCTTTTATAGCTACGGTGACCATATTTTCTCAGAGAAAATGAAGGAAAACTTTAGAGTTTGTTTCAACATGCTTCCAAATCAGTTTGCGACCAAAGTGGAGATCGACGAGCAATAAAAACAAAATAATTCCGCGTCATTAAATGTCAAAATGACGTCATTATGTCGTTTAATGATATCAGTTTGCTACTTGGGATATTCTTATAATTTGAAATTGAGATTCGTTGAGACAAGTCCTTAATTATTTAAATAGGTTCATGATTAGAGATTCCATTGTTTTCGTACAAATAATTCTACGATATTAGACATAAAAAAAAAATAAAGGACAACATTGAACAATCTATAGAACAGTAAACTGATCATAAAACGTCAAAATGACGTCAGTTTGGGATATTCTTATAGTTTGAGACTGGATTCGATTAGTATACTGTACACAAAAATATGTAAAATTATATATATATAAAAATGATAAATGTAAAATTACACGATAAATAATAAAATTATATACATTTTCATTACTCATCATGTAATTTTACATTTACAATTTATGTAATTTTACATATTTTTATATAATATACTACATATTTTTTTACAGTGTACGTTGAACCAAATTCTTCATTTAAATATAAGTTCACACGATAAATAATGAAATCGTCCACATTTTCATTATTCATCATGTAATTTCACATTTACAATTCATGTAATTTTACATATTTTTATACAATATGCTACATATTTTTTACAGTGTATGTTGAACCAAATTCTCAATTTAAATATAGGTTCAGGATGTGTGTCAAAGATTCCGTAAAAATTTTCATGTTAATCCTATATGAGACATTATCCAGCAAACACAGTATATAAATGTTATATACTTAAGCATGTTACATGTAACGTATATGTTAGTTGAAATTTCCCACTCATAGATGTAACATTTTTAATATTACATATATTACATTGTAGTTATATTGTCATTGTATCCTAAGATAGCACTGACTTATCAATACATCAATGTGCTATTTGGTATATAATTATAATATAACTACAATGTAATATATGTTATATTAAAATGTTACATCTATGAGTGGGAAATTACAACTAACATGGATGTTACATGTAACGTGCATTATAACCTGTTATATTCCATTTTATTATACCTGTTTATATATCGGTTTTAATATATAACCCAGCAATGTAACAATGTTATATATCGGTATGTTTGCTGATGGTAGTTATATTGTCATAAGATAGCACACTTAAATACATCAATGTGCTATTTGGTATAAATAATATAATATAATAATGTTATATGTTAAAATAACGGATGTTACATGTAACGTACACGTTATATTACCTGTTATATTCCGTTTTATTATAGCAATGTAACAATTATATATCGGTGTTTGCTGGGAGAGACAAGGACAAAATTAAATCCAAATAAAAGAATGAAAAATAAAGGACCCACGGTCACCGTATCTACATCACGCGGGCAAAAAGATCCAGCTGATCTGAAGTTAACGTCCCCGATAAGGCGAAAATTGCATAGGGAGTATTATCGTTATCGCTGGAAGCTGTCATATTCAGGTGAAAGGCGGGACAGGCGACAGATTGTTATCGTGGATTATAATAGGTCTGTTCTCTCCTCGGCTGCCACTTTCCGCACTTGTCTACACTCGTCTTTCTCTCTTTTTTTCTCCCTTCTCTCTCTCTCTCTCTCTCTGTTGAGCGTGAACTACAACCGTTTCACTTAGAGTGTGCGGAAAGTATAATATAAAGTGCAGCTGAGAAAAGAAAGGACCTAATGCGAGGTCGGGCCGAGGGAATTCAAAGCTTTCGTGCGATGTGACCGGAACTGCAATTGCAGTCCGACATCACGCGAAATGTTGCGTCCCTCCGACTCGATCCTCGCATTGCGATTCCCGACTCGAATATCTCTCTGTCGCTGTTTCATTTCGAGATATCGATGTCGCGTAATTAATTATCAAATATTTTCCTCCAAATAACGTTAATCAATTATCCAAGCTAATCGAAATCTTGGACGTCCGCAGGAATTTTGTTTAGGGAGAGACACGATTACATTTTTTTTCTTTTCCGTTATACTATATTCTTCCTTAATTTTTAATAATTTCTTTATTTTAATATTTTATTATTTTCTCTCATAACTCGTCTAAGAGTCTTGACGTGTTGTCAAACCGACACTATATTCGTTCTTGACATCTTAAAATTATTATTTTATTTTAATTTCACAAGTATGTTTCGCTTCTTTTTATTATTTTGTAATATTGTTAAGTAATTTGTTTTTATTGTATTAATCTCTGTACTGTATTTCTTCTCTATGTATATTTAGATCACTTGATAAGGACTCAAAGAAGGGTCGAAACGTTGTGATTTAATAAATAATATTTGCCAGTACGAGAGAAGAGTTTTACTTTTTTATTTTGTTTAATTTGTCATAGGGAACACTTCGTTTCATATTAAACGTATTAATTTGTGTTATATTCGATTTTTCGTTATAGATTGACACTATAGTGAGTTTTTTTTTTTTTTTTTTTTTTTTTTTTTTAAATAAGAGCTATTATTAATTTCAATATTATTTTTATAAAATAGACATTATAATATTATCATAGTTAAAATTTATTGCAAACTTTTTTATATTTGAATTAATGTTATAGCCTGAAGAGGACCCAATTTAGGGTCGAAACGTCGTCTCTTTCGTAATAAAGATTCTTACATTTAGCCAGTGTTGGTCAATAAAGCTCACTTTTCCTTGGTTTTTATTATTTTATTTTAATATTTTTATCCCTAACAGCATCCCGAAGACGTTCAGAGAATATCCTGAGGATGTTCGAATGTCCTCTGGATATCCTCTGAATATCTTTCGGATATGTCGTGCTGTGCTATTAGGGATATTAAATAAAATTCCAAGGAGAGTAAATGCTTAACTTTTTACCGATTACTCTTGCCTCCCTCTGCGGACGCCCACGATCGAAATAGTAAATAATTGTAAGCCCGGTATCGCATAAATATAGAGAAAAAGGAAAAAACTCGATTCGGAGTCGCGATATTTCGAGTATATCGGATAAAATCGGCAAATTTTCTGACGATGACGCCGGACAAAAGTGACATAACGGCGACGATGCGATAACAGTGCTATAATATAATCTTACGTAAAGCCGGAAGTGTTGTGCATCGTTCCCGATACCGATCGCGAGTCGCGAATTACAAGCGGAAGCGCAACTCCGCCCACGCAAAGGTGAACGTCTGTGTATGCATATACATGTATGTGCGTGTGTGCTTGCTCGGTGGAATCATTTTCCTTTCTTATGCCAGTTTGTTATACTACTTTGTGCAATCGGGTCGCCTGTGACGAGATCGAAATCTTAATTAACCGCGCATATTCGCCATAATACAATTAATCGCATCTGCATTCTTTCTCTAAAACAGAGTTACAAATTATCCACGGTTGCATTAATTTTCACAACAAATCTACCGTTTTCGATTTACATTACGAGCGCGAATTAAACGAGAAAAAAAAAACTAAAATACAATTTGAAAGAAAATAAAATTACTGCCCTCGCACAATCGCCAAACAATTCCCGGAAAATGCAAACGTTTCAATCGCATATAATACGATTGCAAAATTAAATATGTACATATACATATATGTGACGACACACACGCGGGACGAAAATAGAAATTTTTAGATTTAAATACTCTCTCTCTCTCGACCGAGGAGCAACATCGCCGATTATCTATTAATTTATTACTTTATATGTGCAATAGTTCACTCGGTTGTGTACATAAATGACCCGCGCCCCTCACACACACGCACACACATAAACACAAAGCTGTATAAAAAAGTCCGACATACATATATACTTTTATATATATATTTATAGTTAAATCCATTTTTTTCAATCGCTTATAACTCGAAAATTATTGACTTCTAAAAATTTTTGCTGAGGAAAAATCGTCTCCAAATTGGCCAGAGAATCCGCCCTTAATCATTGGTCCGTTAGTTATCGGACACCCTATATACACACACACATATATATATATATATATATATATATATATATATATATACATATATATGAACACGCGCGGAAAAATAGCGAGTCGGGTGCACACGTTGTTTTAATGAAAAACGATATCCTCTCCGTTCCTTGGTCGGTTATTCTCGAATCCCTCTGCATATAATACTGAAAAACTCTCACGTACTAGCGTGTCCCCTCGTCAATAACGCGGAAACTCTCGCGTGGATTTTTCTAGATAAAAACAACAAACCCGGACAATTAGATTAAAGGAAGGAACTCGCGAAGCGGGTCTCTCTACCTCTCTGGAGATGAATATTAGGCTATTGCGAGCGGATGATGCTGGGACGAGAAACTTGATCGCGAGTTCGAAATTGACGTGACGAGCGTGACAAGGTATAGTCACAAAAGTGTGTTGCACTCTCGCGGAAAAGGAAAAATCTCCCGAGTGTCTCTCCTCTTGTTTTCAACGTGACGCCTCGCCTTGGGACAGATTCGTTCGCGAACAAGTTAAAGAAGAACAGCGAGAGGGTCCATTCCCCTGAAAACAGTCCGAAAACAGTCTCCGGAGACGAGCGGAGTTCTCGAACTTACCCCCGAACTCTCGGAATTGATTTCACCAGCAGGACCAGCACACGCACCTAATCGCGTTACTCGACGGTGCTCTCGGCCCGAGCCGAGCCGAGCGAGAGACGCGACGCGACGCGACTCGACTACAGACGCAGGCACACAACCGAGAAAGTAAACCACCCCGAGAGTCGACGAAAGTAGGGTGGCTCGTACCCGCCCAACGGCCGAGCGAGACCGGATCTCTCCTCCCGATGCCCGCGCGACAGACAGAGAAGGACAGAGATTCGAGACGCCGGGCGATAATCGCGCGAGAACCAAGTCTCGAGAAAAGACGCACGCACATACATACATACATACATATACAATAATACATATACAGGGAGACAGAGGGTGAGAGCCGCCACCTTCTACACCCCCGTATACTCGCCCGTGTCGAGTGCGTCACGCATCCTCTCCGGTAGAGTTCCCGGAGGCGAGGCGATAGGCGATGCCTCGGAGGAAAGTAGTGGGAAGGCGCTCTCGCACTCACATGTCTGTCGGGTGTAATCGGCGCGCGCGCGACGTGCCCCCGTATCACCGACGGCGGGACGAGCGCGAGGACGAGGACCGGTCCGCGGACCTCATCGCGAGAAGGATCCTCCTCGGTCGCCTCTTCCGCTGCTCCTGGTGACGACGCTGTCGCTGCTCCTGGTGGCGATGCTGGGTGGCTCCTCGTCGTCGTCGTCGTTCCGGAGCGATGATCTTAATTAACTATAACTAACTATCTCTATCTGGCTAGGCTGTCGCCGACCGACTGACAGCCGCCTTACACGCATGGTTTGAAGCGCGATCACGCTCCGGGCGGCGCCGCTTCGGAGGAAGAGCGAGAGAGGACGAGGGTTGGCGGGATACGGAGATCGAGAATGAGAGAGGAGGCTCGCTCCACCACGTAAGTCGCGAGAGCTCGCCCCGATGATGCTGGCGCGGGATCGGAGGAAAGACTGAGTGACTTGCGATGGTGGTGGTGGTGGTGGATAGAGAGCGCTTCTGGAACGAGGGTGGTAATTTAACCCTGTTCCATCTCTCTCTCTCCTCTTCTCTCTCGGGCGATTCTGCCCGACTAACTTGATCGAGGGATGCGAGGGAGAAAAGCGAAACGGGGAGAGGAAGAGAGAGAAAGAGAGCGATGTTAGAAACGTGGGAAGGGTGGGAAGACCTGGCCGAGTGTGCGTGGACGTACCTAAACAAGGTGTACGCTTGTGTGGGCTACGCGAGCGAGCGAGAGGGAGGTGGAAGAGAGAGAGAGAGAGAGAGAGGGAGAGGGAAACGACAAACGGCACTGCACTCCGACAACGTCCGCGCTGGGAGGCGCACTAAGGGCGTGGGCAATCCGCGAGCGAGCGAGCACAGGCAGGTCGGCTGCGAACGCCGGTGCGCTGGACTACATTGATTTTGATTTTCGAAGGCGCGCGCATTTCGCGCTCTCTCTCTAGCTGGATCTGCCCATTCATGCCGCCGCTCCCGTCTAGTTACCGAGGACGTTGGTCCTGTCCGAATTAGGGATTCCGCGGAAGAGGGCTTTTGTATCGACGCTTCGATCCCCCCACTACTGAAAAATAGAAGCTTTCGATTGATCTTTCGACGGTACACCTCGGATATATTGTGATGTTATCACATCCCTAAATCGTGGAAATTGCTCGTGAAACGAGACGATTCTGTCGATTATCGCGCCACTGTCGGTTCTTTTTATGAGAAGGATTGCTTTATCGGCCTGTTTTTTTTTTTTTTTTGAAAGATATATTTTACAAGGAAAGATTTATGTGGAATTTTCAACTTCAATGCACGCAACAATTAGGATTGTTTGCATGATGAGTGACTGAGAGTCGAAATTGAATTTGGATACCGTGGAATGTGGCTCGATACGTCGGTCGTTCTCATAAGGAAAGAACAGATTGGGTTCATTCATCAGCTTGTGATTTATTAGAGATATACATCTAATAATAGATATAGATATACAAGTCACTTGCGCAATGTCGTGCGGTGCATACCACGCGACAATATTAATTGAAAGTCTTACACCGAGGCGGTACCCAAGTGTACGAAGAGAAAACAGAGCATACCGGGACACACACTTTGTTTCCCACTGCGTAAATTCGTCGACGCTCCCGCAGAAATGATGAAGCGTTCGCGCGTAATTTTCATTGTTCTACTTAACAATAAATAAATATCCTTTAGGGCGTACTTCGATCACATGAAATATCCGAAGCCGAAGGTACGTTTTATGGCGTCCCAGTAGTACCTGTCCCAATTTTCCTTCGTAGAGGCCTCCTCGCTAAAATCGTAAGATTTTTGTTATATGTACTAATTTCTTGTTGATCGAAAATACAGAGAAATCACTGTTTTTTTTGTTTACCTAAGTGGAACACCAGTTTGCGTTAAAATGACCTCGGTGTGATCGTTCTTCTCGGAAATATCGATTGTTACATTGCTAAAGTGACCGGATGGCCATTGTTTGCAGCGCCATTTTTGGACAATCTTCGTCGGCGTAATTTCTAGAAATTCGCCATGAATATTGCCACCAAAAAGCTCGAATTTTCCATTTTTCTTTGCCTCTAATTTTACCGGATTTCTTGTAAAAGCTTGTACCATCTATGAAAAATCCCCATTATAATTATGTCCGTTTAGTTGGTCTAAACTATGTCTATCATGACATAATTCGCAATATATAATTTTATTATTACCTCAATAGATGAGAAAACATTGTAAAATTCGTTCGCTCTGCATTGAAACTTAATATTTTGCTTAATTGTAGTGGTCGAGATTTTACATCCTGTTACTTCATGATTGTTCGTCGGCACTGCAGCATTCATCTGCATCTGAAAAGAGAATAAAAAATTAGTTGAAAAAAAAGTTAGCTAAATTATATTCATTCAACATTATAAATATATCTCGTACTTACTTTGACATTAAAACCAGATGTTATACTTGAGATATTTTCCTTTACAATATCTTTTTTGGGAAGGATCATCCCTTTTGTAAATTCTGTAAAATAAATAAAGGTTATATATATATTTTATGTAGGAGTTTTATATATATATATATATATTTTTATATAGGGGTTATATATATATATATATATATATATATATATAAAATAATTAAATACAATAGTTGTTTGACGTCACAGTTGAAAAATTATTTACTTACTTACTTTTTTACATCTTACCTTCTTTTAAAGAAGATACATATTGTTTCAATTTTTCTCTTATTGCATCCTTTCCCTTTGTATGCAGAAATTGTTTTACTTTTTCCCCTTCATCTGTACTATCTTTTAATGTAATTTCAATCTACAAATTACAAGACTTGTATCAATTTCAATTTTATAATGAATTTTATTATATAATATCAATATATATATATATATATATATAATTTAATAAAAAATACTTACATCTACTTCGCTAATGTCATTTTCTTCGGACAGATTAGGTATATTAATTTTACCCTCAACTGTCTCACTTGATTTATCTGACTTCCACTTAAGCACAATATTCCATTCATAAAAGAAAATAAGTTTTCCTTTTCTATTATTTGCTACTGCCTCGCCTTCGCACTTTTCCATTTCTGTTATTTGACACAAAACTGCAAAATAATAATAAATAATATTTATGAAAAATATAATCACAATAATGAAAAAATTAATATATATATATATCATTTCAAATTTTTTGATCAATATTTGACATATACATTAGAGTCAACTAGAAATATATATTACGGATACATACCTCCATCTCCCTTGATTTCCGAATTTAGGAAAAGTTCTTTCAATTTGTCTTGCGACCATGCACAGGCATTCTTCTCTGTCCTGTAACATAATTTTTATAAATAAATAAATGTGTGTATAAAAGAAAACAAGATAGAAATGTACAAAAATGACGATACTTTAAAACTTATTCGACACAAGACTTAGAAAAGAGTCATTGTATAGTGTACAAAAAATCCTTCGATATTGATGACTTAAAAATATATCCTATAATTATCATAAAGTTCAATTATAATTATTAACACACCAATGCCAATTATTCACGTTGGTCGCGTCAGGCCTCTCTTCTACAATCCAACGTGGATCACCTTCGCCCCATTTTGCCATGTTTCTAAGTGGTACTTAAGTATGCACTAGAACGCTGATAGTAGATTCTGATGGATCAAAATTTTGAATTTGCAAAATTAATTAAAATAATAAGCTGCGAAAAGATAGAAAAAAAAAAAAAAAAAAAAAAAAAAAAATTTATAGAGTATACATGGACATAACCTACAATGAAATTAATGGAGCTATTTTGTGCGAATCTTTTCCTGGTGTCTGCTGATAAACGAACGATAAATTTCCGATTTGTACGAAATATTTGAAATTAAGTCGCGAACTACGGTTAGGAAAGTGCAAAAAGTTCAAGTCGCGTTTCCGTGACACCTCACTTGACAATTAAATTCCGAGTGTTGCCTCGTTCACGTTCGCGGCCCGACTGACCGAAGAATTTCTCGAATGACAGGTTGCGTTGACAGTTAAAAATCTTGAACTTGAACGCCGGTTCCGTTCGAATTCTTCGAGAACGTCGTGAGATTATCGTCAAACAAATCCAACGTGGATGATCAATCAAGACGGAACAACGTTCTCAATCCCGAGTTCTCGAGCGTTTTCAAACATTCTGGAAACTTCAGGCACGAAATATGACGATGTTTAAGATACTGCACTCGCGTCAGGTTTCTGCTCTCGGTCTATTGCAAATGGCGGAATTTGTCCATTTATCCGTAGAAAAAACCTCGTTATTTTTAGATTATTGCATATATATAATGCTTATTTTTATTTTATTTATTTTAACTTTAATTAGAAGTCGATCGTTTTATTATGCGTTTCCTGAATTATATTTAAATAATCGAATAATTGAAGAATATAAACAAAATCATATATATAATATTCTAATATCTTTAAAGAATAATTATCTGTAAAAATATTGTGTAACAAAATAATAATTTATAATTAAAATTTGTCACTTCAGTTTTTTTACTTGATAATATATATACTTAAGCGAAACTTTTCCGGGCTTTGTTTATTATCGAAATAATTTTTTTCTGTCAGAAATAATCTAAGTGCATGTAACCCTACTCGTACTTTTTGGGATCAAGCACAGGGATGATTGTAATAAATTGTTAAATGAGTAATTAATCATGTATGTGCGCGTATATGTAAATATCTATATATATATATATACCCAGGTAGCAAGCTGACGTCAAATGACGTCATTTTGACGTTTAATGACGTTAGCTTGCTACCTGGGTAAATAAATAATATTTTAATAATATCTTTCAAGAATAATTATTATCTGTAAAAATTGTGTAACAAAATAATAATTTATAATTAAAATTTGTCACTTTGATTTTCTTGTTTGATAAAATAATTACGTGAAAAATGCGTTTCGAGACCTATATATTTGTTACGATATATATATTTAAACATTAATTATAGAAAACAATTTTGCTCATTAATCATATTTCATCGTATATAGTATGAAATATTATATCGTATCAAATAGTTTTCCGATATCGATCGCAATCGCGCGTTTAGAAAAGGAATTCGGAGCATCTTGCACCATTATTTTACATATCGGTGCGCAAATAATAACAAAGATAAAGCACGTAAACAATAGCGCGCTAGATGACAAAAAACGAATACCAAATGTTAATAATTTGTTATCGAGATATTTTAGCATGGCATGGCAATTAAAAATGTGGTATATTATAAATTATAAGAATATATTTTAAACTTACACTGACAAAAAATTTAATTAATTCTTATAAGTATTTTTATAGTTCAATACGTCCAAATAAATCATTTATTTGATATGAAAAATATTTATTTGATATAAAAAAATCCTTTTCAAAACAAATAAATATTTATATGTTTCTAATATATGATTCATTTGAACGTATTGAACTATAAATATTTTGTTAATTTAACAAATTTTTTTCAGTGTAAATAAATAATTTTAAAATTATAGATTAATATTATATAGTTATTAAATATATAAAATTGATGTATCACGGAGAATATTTTGTTATATGCAATTCTTGTGATTCGATTGTATTATTGTGCGTTATTAATTTAAATAAACTAATTTAAATTATACTCAAATCTTGTATCATCGACATTTGTATAATACAAAATCCTCTAACAGTTTTTCTAATGCTAGAGAAATTATTGTAATGCATAGTTTACGGAATGCATATACTATATATGTATAAGTGCACTGTCAACGTTTATTAATTTTTTTTCTTAATACGACAAAATCATATCGCACAATCACACATATGTTTAAATTATTAAATATCAGAAATATCGAAGAAAATGAAGAAATATCTCTATTTTCCTCAAATTATTTATTACGCATTATAAATAAAATTATAGTTGTTATCGTCTCGTTGCAAATGTTTCGTTCTACTATCACTTTTTGTTCTTCGAACGAGAAATTATCTTAATCTCATCTGTTAAATTATTCGATGGCGTACCTATATGAGTGTGTATTATATTCGCAGAGATTATTAATCCCTTCGACATCTTCATTAATTATACTCGACAACTCCATTAATTGCAAAACACGATCGGACTCGTGATGTATTTATCTAAGAGTGTCTACAATATAATATTGGCTTAATCCTTTTTGGAATGCGTTCTTAACCAGAAGAAAGAGTTAAGATCTTAATATCTGTAGCCCTCTTCTTGTGCCCCCGGAGCTGGCCCAGCTGGATAAGTCGCGGTGCCCTCGTATCGAATCATCGGCCGATATCCGGCCTGATCGGCGACGTAATCGACAATCTGGGTCCTACCGTCCGGCAGAAGCACGTGATAAGTCCCAGTCGCCTCCATGTCTTTCCTCATCTCGCGATGACCAAAATCCAGACCCACCGCTGCATCCTGAACCTCATACGAGAACTCATAGTTCGCCGGATCCTATATCAATTTTCAAAAATATTTATATATTTTTCATGCATATCTTATATATTTTTATATATCCCAGGTAGCAAACTGACGTCATTAAACGTCAAAATGACGTCGAATGAGGTTATTTTGGCGTTTAAATTATTATATTTAATGACGTTAGTTTGCTATCTGGGATATTTGATTTATTTATATTATATATATATATATATATATATATATTTAATATATTTTTAAAAATACATGATAATATAATATATTCCACGTCATTAAACGTCATAATGACGTCTCAACGTCATTTTGAGGTTATCCTAGGAAGCAAACTGACGTCATTAAACGTCAAAAAACGTCATTATTTGACGTTTAATAACGTGGGATATATTATATTATCATGTATTTTTAAAAATATATTAAATATATACATATATAATATAAATAAATCAAATATACCAGGTAGCAAACTGACGTCATTAAACGTCAAAAAAATGTCATTCGACGTCATTTTGACGTTTAATGACGTGGGATACAGCATATTATCATGTATTTTCAAAATATATTAAATATATATATATATATATATATTTATATATAATATAAATAAATCAAATATACCAGGTAGCAAACTGACGTCATTAAACGTCAAAAAAACGTCATTCGACGTCATTTTGACGTTTAATAACGTGGGATACATCATATTATCATGTATTTTTAAAAATATATTAAATATATACATAATATAAATAAATCAAATATCTCAGGTAGCAAACTGACGTCATTAAACGTCAAAATAACGTCATCAATGTCATCGACGTCATTTTGATGTTTAATAATGTCAGTTTGTTACCTGGAATATTTGATTTATTTATATTATATATATTTAATATATTTAAAAAAATTTTTTTTTGCTTAAGATACCGTAATACATACTTACACCGGCCCACTCGTCCGGATGACCAGTTCCTCCTCCTCCTCCTGGAGCTGGTCGAGGACTAGGTGGAAGATAGGCTGGGCCTTGAGGTTCGGAACGAACTCCTACCAAGACCATCGCTAAAAGTATCGCCTGTTCGAAAGAAGAGCGTGGAAACTTGCACACGTTTGACAAAATAAAAAAAAAATCTTATTTTAACAAACTAACGCGAAACGTGATTCTAACAGTTCTTGGTAAAATAATTTTTATTTAATTAAATAATTGGACAAAAAAAAACTCAATAGAATTTTAACAGAAAGAAAAGTTCAAATATCATATTAAATTAATTTATATACTTTTATGTCACTTTATTAAATGTTTTCATAAATTCGTTTAATTAAATTTTTTCTACGTCGCAAAAATCATATTTTAAAAGTAAGTTTTTAATTATTGGATACGATTATTATCGAGAGATAATTGAACGGAAAACTCTAGCTTTTGTTCCCTGATTTGTGTAAAATCTTCGGCGAAACTTTATCGAACCCTACGAAATGCTTTAACGAGAAGCACGTTTGTAATCATATAAGTACCAACCTTCCGAATCATTAGCAATTCGGTGGAATTTTACGAGCATTCGCGAAACTGAGACGACTCGACGCAAAGGATTCGGTTTTATAGCGACCAATTCGATCTCCTAAGGAGATGGAGAGATGGAAGATGCAATAGTTAGGTATTTCGAGCTCTCTAATATCTAACGCGAACCGCTAATTACGGCTAATAATAAAACCGCAGATTTCTGGCGACTCTGATCATTCGTTCGTCATAATTGCAACAGTTCCTGATTCTGTGCAACGTCCTAGAAAACATTTTTTTATATATAACAATATAAAATTATACCAATAATATTATATCAATGTAGAAATATATAAAATTATACATGTAATCGCAAAATTATATATAAAATATATATGTCCATACATAATTATAAAAGGGTTTCTTTATATAAATTTATATATTTATTTTATAAATTTAATATATTTTTCATATATATTTTTATATTATATTATATTTTATTTTATTTTATATTTTATATATATTTTTTTTATAAATTTAAATATTTATAATAAATAAGTATTTCTTTATATGTATATAAATATATTGTTTCATATATAATTTGACATGATTATATATGAACCCTTATAATTTATAATTATGTATAAAAATGGACGTATTTCACATATAATCTTACAATTATATGTATAATTTTACAATTATATATAATTATATATAAAAAAATTTTTCTCAGGATTTTATTTGTCATATGGAGGCAGACGAAACCACGTTTCTTCCCCTTGAATGAAATTCTGTAGGAGGTATCCACATGTGTTGTACATTTCGGGGTTAAATTATGTTCCAACTTCGCAAGAAAAAAAAAATAAAAAATCCTGTAACAAAATAAAAAAAGATTAAAATTTATTTGTCGTTAAATTAATTTATTATTAAATTCTGTAGGAGGTATCCACATGTGTTGTACATTTCGGGGTTAAATTATGTTCCAACTTCGCAAGAAAAAAAAAAAAAAAAAATCCTGTAACAAAAATAAAAAAAGATTAAAATTTATTTGTCGTTAAATTAATTTATTATTATATTTCTCGACATATGTATATGTTGATGATTTATTGTTCAATTTTGACGTGAAAATCACGTTTGGCAATTTCTCATGACTGATTCGTCAATAGATTAGGACTACCGTATAATTTGATCTTACTCAACAGATAACAATAAGTGAAATTAATAATCCTTCTTTCGAATTGCGTCATCCTCTTAGACAGATTTGCGGCAACGTTTAAACATTGCGAAGTATTATTAGATATCGTAACACAGATATTGTGATAAACGATATGGTTCATTATCTATGATGAGGTAAAATAGATGCAACCTTGTTATTAATTAATTTTTTCTACGAGTGTTTACAGAAAAATATTATATAAATATTAAATATACGTCTTTCAAACTTGATAATAGATAGACATTAAATTTAATTTATTACTTAATTTAAAAAGAGATAATTATGTATTGTATGCAACAATTTTAAATATTATGCTAATAATAATTTATTTAGGTGCAATTAACTTTTAAGTCTATTTATGTCAAATTCTGTTTCGATTCTAAAATTATATAAATATGTTTATTGATACGTCTTAAAATATCTAATTTTATATTTTTCATGTTTACGTCAAGTTTAACTAAATTGATAATTATTAAAAAAAACAGGCAAAGATATTTATTGTCATTTATTTTAGTTGATAATGAGTATATTTTATCCACAAAGATATGAAAAATGTAAGTCTCTCTCTTTCTCTTTCTCTCTCTTATTTCATAAAATTCTATATAAATTATAGATAATAAAATTTGTAAATAATAAAATAATAAATAATAAACTCTAATAAGTACAAAATTAATTTATAACACTTTAATTTCTATTCCTATTAAAATTTTATGCAAAAATACACAAAAATATATATATATATATATATACACAATATTGCAAACGTGTTATATTGAATTTATTTTGACGCGATATTTGATACTAGGAATATATATTTTTCTTTTTTTTTATCGCTTTTCAATAAATAAAATAAATAATTCGACTCACGTTTTGATTATTTTTCCGAGTTCAGCATATTCTGGATTCTTCGCCATCATTTTTTTCCTGCAGAAAATCAACTTCTACCTCGAAAAATATCTTCGTAGAAAAAGTTTCAAAACACTTGCACTCGCGTTCCTTTTTTTGTTTGCAATCGCAAAAATTGAGCACTAGATTTCACAATGTTTTATAATTTCATTGAATATTCAATGACGAGAAAATTACTATAATAATATAAAAATAATTATTATAATAATAAAAATCCCAAAATAATTGTGCAAGAGAACACTGAAAAAAAAAAAAAAAATTGTTAACTTGACTAAACCTGTCAACTAAAAGTTATTATTTTGTTAATTAAACATATATTAATATTGAAGTCAAATATATATGTTTTAATATGTTATATTTAATTTAAATATTTTTACATGCTGAATTAACAAATTAATCTTTAGATGAATGGTTTAGTCAAGTTAATAAATTTTTTTCAGTGTGTGTGATTAACAAAAATTAACGTCACGCATTATTGACAGTTATAAATATTATTTATTCATTGTATTATCTGTCAATGCGGAATAAAAGACTAACCAGAGCTGTCAAAAATTTAATGCGAATATCTATTCATTAGATATTCAATCAAAAGTCGAACATATGTACAGATCGACTATATTATCTGATAATAAGTCGATATATAATACATCAAAAAATATATGTATATAAATTTCAAAAATATGTCAAAAATATGTCAAAAAATATATGTATATAAATTTCGAAATCGAAGTAGTAATCTTATTTAATTTATCGTTTAGTGTTAGTGTGTACTCTGAAAAAAAATTTGTTAAATAAACAAATATTTAGTTCAATAGGTTCAAAAGAATTATTTATTTGAAACGAATAAATATTTATTTATTTTGAAAAGAATTTTCTTATATATCAAATATATATTTTTCATATCAAATAAATATTAGTTTCAAATAAATGATTTATTTGAACGTATTGAACTAAAATACTTATAAGCATTAACTAAATTTTTTTCAGTGTACCAACCAATTGTGGAAGATATGATAAATTAGAATTTTTGAAGACGCACAATATATTCCACGATTAAAAATATAAGTAACAAAATGATATAAAAATAAATATAAAAAGAACAAAAGCTAGTCAGCTATAGTCACTTTAAGTTCATTTTTTAATACATTTTACGAATATTCTAAAGATGAAAAATATGTACAGAGACGTTTTTGTAATAATAATAATAATAAACGTGCCGGATATAAATAATTCGATGAAAATATTTTTAATTAATATTTATGTTAAATTTTGTTATTACTTTTATCCTATCAAATTTATATTCTTCCTTTGATTGTGTAACGAAATTAGTTAAAATATTTCAATTTTCATATCATGATAAATGCGCCGCATAATATCAAAGAATGAATTTATAAATTCTAAAATTACAGCACATATTTAAATTAATATTCAGAATTTTAATTTTAATTTAATTAAATTTGTTTAAACTTATTTCATTTAACACTTAGTTATTAGATTTTTATTTAATTTTAAAATTAATTTAATATTCCATTTACATATAAAAATTAAACAACTATATAAAAATTAAATTAAGGAAATATAAATAAATTATATTAAATTAATTATATTAAATTAAAATTAAAAACTAAATATCAATTTTAAAAACATTAATTACAATAAGCTAGTAATAAAAAAATATAAGAATTATCGTTTTGAATATATTTGTATATTCAATATTTAACAGTGCAATAATATATACGGCATTTGTAAATAGAAAAATACAGCTTTGTTAATTATTTAAAAATCCTTTCATGACATTCTTTAAATATATATTACGATAATTCTGTCAATCATATTAAATATTATTTAAATTTGAATAAAGAAAATGTTAAAAATATTAAAAATCCACAAAAGTATCCACAAAAAGCATTTCGAATATCTAAATCGATGTACGCCACAATAATTTATTTGGTTTAAAAAAAAAATATTACGAGAAGTGCCGCAGAAAATTTATCTTGATCGAGAAACGTGAAAAATCGAAGTCTAACAGCAGCGAAGACATACAATTGTGATTCCAAGAAATTCAAGCTTACCCTCGGCGCGCTCAATTCTCAGAAGCAGCCCGAGCTCGGCCACGAAGACCACCTGCTTATCGCCGATTCTCTCTTCACACACTATTCGCACAAACTCACGCGCTCACGCGACGCGACACACACGTATCGTTTCAAGATTTTACGACTCGGGGAAAAAAACTTTCACTCTCGATGACGAATTTACGAAAATATACTTACTAACACACGCGATTCTCGGGTTTCGTGCAAATCCACGCGATGAAATTGTCAACATGTTTTGCAGCGATTATAGAGTATTTGGAGAGGAGTCTGCGCACAAATCTAACGACAAATTTTTCTGATATATTTCCGATCTTATACTCGCTCGCAGGCAATATTTATTTTCAATAGTTTTAATTAGTTTTATTAATACGTACGCGTCGCTTCTCAGTCCTTCGCGAAAACATAAATATATGTGATATTCTTTCTCGTTTTCACTCGGCACGTTTTTATCGCGACTGCGTTTTAGCAGTGATAAGGTGTCGCTTGAGTCGACGAAATTCGCGGCAAACTTCACTTATTCCTACCTGCGAGGAAGCGTCCAATTTCTGAAATTATTCCGGGCTCCGCCGCGACGATTGTCGATGTATCCTTGTAGACAATCATTTATTCCGACGCACAATACACATATACACTCGCGATGCATTACGCGTTTGCGTAGCTTGAAAAAAGCTTCACTCAACGACGAACGACTTTCTCGCTTCTTTTCGCGACTGCGCGATTTTCACGTTTGACATGTGGCACCACTGACAGCTACTCGCGCACTTTCCGGTTGCACTGTTGAGAACACTGACTACGATGCGCGGCGTATACGTCGCATTTGAAAAAGTTTTCTTCCAACTTTATTAACGAAACCCGCGACGTATTTTCACATTGTTCCGATCGCGATTCGATCGATATATCAATCGTCAAGCGTGTCCCATACTTCCGCACGTGTCTATCACTCGACTCGCGACGAAATACACGATGACAGATGCGAGAGAACGCGCGACGCGCGCGAGAGCATCCGACCGCAGGGGTAGCTGGACGCGAACTGCGAAGGTCGCGCGCTGTCGGCGCCGCGGCGAGACGGCCAAGGTCACCGCACGCAGCACATACGGAGCG